TTTAACACACGGTGGGTTCAACACACGGTAGGTTTAACACACGGCGGGTTGAACATACGGTGGGTTGAACACACGGTAGGTTTAACACACAGTGGGTTGAACACACGGTGGGTTGAACAGACGGTGGGTTGAACACACGGTGGGTTGAACACATGGTAGGTTTAACACACGGTGGGTTGAACTTACGGTGGGTTGAACACACGGTGGGTTGAACACACGGTGTGTTGAACACACGGTGGGTTGAACACACCGTGGGTTGAACACACGGTGGGTTGAACACACGGTAGGTTTAACAAACGGTGGGTTGAACACACGGTGGGTTGAACACACGGTGGGTTGAACACACGGTGGGTTGAACACACGGTGGGTTGAACACACGGTGGGTTGAACACACGGTAGGCTTAACACACGATGGGTTTAACACTTGGTGGGTTGAACACACGGTGTATTAAACACACGGTGGGTTTAACACACGGTGGGTTTAACACACGGTGGTTTGAACACACGGTGGGTTTGACACACAGTGGGTTGAACACACGGTGGGTTTTACACACGGTGGGTCTAACACACGGTGGTTTGAACACACGGTGGGTTTGACACACGGTGGGTTTAACACACGGTAGGTTTAACACACGGTGGGTTTAACACACGGTGGGTTTAACACACGGTGGGTTTAACACACGGTGGGTTTAACACACGGTGGGTTTATCACACGGTGGGTTTAACCGCGGTGGGTTTAACACACGGTAGGTTTAACACACGGTGGGTTGAATACACGGTGGGTTGAACACACGGTGGGTTGAACACACGTTAGGTTTAACACACGATGGGTTAAACACACGAAAGGTTTAACAGGTGGTGGGTTGAACACACGGTGGGTTGAACACACGGTGTGTTGAACACACAATGGGTTGAACACACAATGGGTTTAACACACGGTGGGTTGAACACACGGTAGGTTTAACACACGGTGGGTTGAACACACGGTGGGTTGAACACACGGTGGGTTGAACACACGGTGGGTTTAACACACGGTAGGTTTAACACACGGTGGGTTGAACACACGGTGGGTTGAACACACGGTGGGTTGAACACACGGTTGGTTGAACACATGGTGGGTTGAACACACGGTAGGTTTAACACACGGTGTGTTGAACACACGGTGGGTTGAACACCCGGTGGGTTGAACACACGGTGGGTTGAACACACGGTGGGTTGAACACACAGTGGGTTGAACACACGGTGGGTTGAACACACGGTGGGTTGAACACACGGTGTGTTGAACACAAGGTGGGTTGAACATACGGTGGGTCGAACACAAGGTGGGTTGAACACACGGTAGGTTTAACACACGGTGGGTTTAACACACCGTGGGTTGAACACGCGGTAGGTTAAACACACGGTGGGTTGAACACACGGTGGGTTAAACACACGTTAAGTTGAACACACGGTGGGTTGAGCACACGGTAGGTTTAACACACGGTGGGTTGAACACACGGTGGGTTGAACACACGGTGGGTTGAATACACGGTGGGTTGAACACACAGTGTGTTGAACACACGGTGGGTTGAACACACGATGGGTTTAACACACGGTGGGTTTGACACACGGTGGGTTTAACACACGGCAGGTTTAACACACGGTGGGTTTAACACACGGTGGGTTGAACACACGATGGGTTTAACACACGGTGGGTTGAACACACGGTGGGTTTATCACACGGTGGGTTTCACACACGGTGGGTTTAACACACGGTAGGTTTAACAAACGGTGGGTTGAACACACGGTTGGTTGAACACACGGTGGGTTGAACACATGTTATGTTTAACACACAGTGGGTTGAACACACGGTGGGTTGAACACACGGTGGGTTGAACACACGGTGGGTTTGACACACAGTGGGTCTAACACACAGTAGGTTTAACACACAGTGGGTTGAACACCCGGTGGGTTGAACACACGGTGGGTTGAACACACGGTGGGTTGTACACACGGTGTGTTGAACACACGGTGGGTTGAACACACGGTGGGTTGAACACACGGTGGGTTGAGCACACGGTGGGTTTAACACACGGTGTGTTGAACACACGGTGGGTTGAACACACGGTGGGTTGAACACACGGTGGGTTTAACATACGGTGGGTTGAACACACGGTGGGTTGAACACACGGTGGGTTGAACACACGGTGGGTTGAACACACGGTGGGTTGAACACGCAGTGGGTTTAACACACGGTGGGTTGAACATACGGTGGGTTGAACACACGGTGGGTTGAACACACGATGGGTTGAACACAAGGTGGGTTGAACACACAGTGGGTTTTACACACGGTGTGTTTAACACACGGTGGTTTGAACACACGGTGGGTTTGACACACGGTGGGTTTAACACACGGTGGGTTTAACACACGGTGGGTTGAACACACGGTGGGTTTATCACACGGTGGGTTGAACACACGGTGGGTTGAACACACGGTAGGTTGAACACACGGTGTGTTGAACACACAGTGGGTTGAACACACGGTGGGTTGAACACACGGTGGGTTGAACACACGGTAGGTTTAACACACGGTGTGTTGAACACACAGTGGGTTGAACACACGGTGGGTTGAACACACCGTGGGTTGAACACACGGTGGGTTGAACACAAGGTGGGTTGAACACACGGTAGGTTTAACACACGGTGGGTTTAACACACGGTGGGTTGAACACACGGTAGGTTTAACACACGGTGGGTTGAACACACGGTGGGTTGAACACACGGTGGGTTGAACACACGGTGGGTTGAACACACGGTAGGTTAAACACACGGTGGGCTGAACACACGGTGGGTTGAAAACACGGTGGGTTGAATACACGGTGGGTTGAACACACAGTGTGTTGAACAAACGGTGGGTTGAACACACGATGGGTTTAACACACGGTGGGTTGAACACACGGTGGGTTGAACACACGGTGGGTTGAACTCACGGTGGGTTGAACACACGGTAGGTTTAACACACGGTGGGTTTAACACACGGTGGGTTGAACACACAGTGTATTGAACACACAGTGGGTTTTACACACGGTGGGTTGAACACACGGTGGTTTGAACACACGGTGGGTTTGACACACGGTGGGTTGAACACACGGTGGGTTTGACACACGGTGGGTTTGACACACGGTGGGTTTGAACACACGTTGGGTTTTACACACGGTGGGTTTAAGACACGGTGGTTTGAACACACGGTGGGTTTGACACACGGTGGGTTTAACACACGGCAGGTTTAACACACGGTGGGTTTAACACACGGTGGGTTGAACACACGATGGGTTTAACACACGGTGGGTTGAACACACGGTGGGTTTATCACACGGTGGGTTTCACACACGGTGGGTTTAACACACGGTAGGTTTAACACACGGTGGGTTGAACATACGGTTGGTTGAACACACGGTGGGTTGAACACACGTTATGTTTAACACACAGTGGGTTGAACACACGGTGGGTTGAACACACGGTGGGTTGAACAGACGGTGGGTTGAACACACGGTGGGTCTAACACACGGTAGGTTTAACACACAGTGGGTTGAACACCCGGTGGGTTGAACACACGGTGGGTTGAACACACGGTGGGTTGTACACACGGTGTGTTGAACACACGGTGGGTTGAACACACGGTGGGTTGAACACACGGTGGGTTGAGCACACGGTGGGTTTAACACACGTAGGTTGAACACACGGTGGGTTGAACACACGGTGGGTTGAACACACGGTGGGTTTAACATACAGTGGGTTGAACACACGGTGGGTTGAACACACGGTGGGTTGAACACACGGTGGGTTGAACACACGGTGGGTTGTACACACGGTGTGTTGAACACACGGTGGGTTGAACACACGGTGGGTTGAACACACGGTGGGTTGAGCACATGGTGGGTTTAACACACGGTGGGTTGAACACACGGTGGGTTGAACACACGGTGGGTTGAACACACGGTGGGTTTAACATACGGTGGGTTGAACATACGGTGGGTTGAACACACGGTGGGTTTGAACACACGGTGGGTTTGACACACGGTGGGTTTGAACACACGGTGGGTTTTACACACGGTGGGTTTAACACACGGTGGTTTGAACACACGGTGGGTTTGACACACGGTGGGTTTAACACATGGCAGGTTTAACACACGGTGGGTTTAACACACGGTGGGTTGAACACACGATGGGTTTAACACACGGTGGGTTGAATACACGGTGGGTTTATCACACGGTGGGTTTCACACACGGTGGGTTTAACACACGGTAGGTCTAACACACGGTGGGTTGAACACACGGTGGGTTGAACACACGGTGGGTTGAACACACGTTATGTTTAACACACGGTGGGTTGAACACACGGTGGGTTGAACACACGGTGGGTTGAACACACGGTGGGTTGTACACACGGTGGGTTGAACACAAGGTGGGTTTAACACACGGTAGGTTTAACACAAGGTGGGTTGAACACACGGTGGGTTAAACACATGATGTGTTGAACACACAAAGGGTTGAACATACAGTGGGTTTAACACATGGCGGGTTGAACACACGGTAGGTTTAACACACGGTGGGTTGAACACACGGTGGGTTGAACACACGGTGGGTTGAACACACGGTGGGTCTAACACACGGTAGGTTTAACACACGGTATGTTGAACACCCGGTGGGTTGAACACACGGTGGGTTGAACACACGGTGGGTTGTACACACGGTGTGTTGAACACACGGTGGGTTGAACACACGGTGGGTTGAACACACGGTGGGTTGAGCACACGGTGGGCTTAACACAGAGTGGGTTGAACACACGGTGGGTTGAAAACACGGTGGGTTGAACACACGGTGGGTTTAACATACGGTGGGTTGAACACACGGTGGGTTGAACACACGGTGGGTTGAACACACGGTGGGTTGAACACACGGTGGGTTGTACACACGGTGTGTTGAACACACGGTGGGTTGAACACACGGTGGGTTTCGCAATGCTGTGGGTGGACTGGCCCCCCGTTGGGTCGGAGAGTGCCCTTCCAGACGAAGTGCTGCTGGGACTCACCTGTGAGGACCCTACTTTCATGCAAGGCACCGCTTTCTCTGCTACTCTGCCAACCCAGCCACTCGCACCGTTGCCAATAGCAATGCTCCCCAAACTCGCTGCTCTGTCTGGCTCCGCTCCCTGCATTAGGGACGGTTCCACACTGCAGCAGGTGGAGTGGCCGCGCGTTGGGTCGGAGAGTGCCCTTCCAGACGAAGTGCTGCTGGGACTCTGCTATGAGGACCCTGCTTTCATGGAAGGCACCGCTGTCTCTGCTCCTCTGCCAACCCAACCACTCGCACCGTTGCCAACAGCAATGCTCCCCAAACTCGCTGCTCTGTCTGGCTCCGCTCCCTGCATTGGGGATGGTTCCACACTGCAGCAGGTGGAGTGGCCGCGCGTTTGGTCGGAGAGTGCCCTTCCAGACGAAGTGCTGCTGGGACTCTGCTGTGAGGACCCTGCTTTCATGCAAGGCACCGCTTTCTCTGCTCCTCTGGCAACCCAACCACTCGCACGGTTGCCAACAGCAATGCTCCCCAAACTCGCTGCTCGGTCTGGCTCCGCTCCTTGCATTGGGGATGGTTCCACACTGCAGCAGGTGGAGTGGCCGCGCGTTGGGTCAGAGAGTGCCCTTCCAGACGAAGTGCTGCTGGGACTCTGCTGTGAGGACCCTGCTTTCATGCAAGGCACCGCTTTCTCTGCTCCTCTGCCAACCCAACCACTCGCACCGTTGCCAACAGCAATGCTCCCCAAACTCGCTGCTCTGTCTGGCTCCGCTCCCTGCATTGGGGATGGTTCCACACTGCAGCAGGTGGAGTGGCCGCGCGTTGGGTCGGAGAGTGCCCTTCCAGACGAAGTGCTGCTGGGACTCTGCTGTGAGGACCCTGCTTTCATGCAAGTAACCGCTTTCTCTGCTCCTCTGCCAACCCAACCACTCGCACCGTTGCCAACAGCAATGCTCCCCAAACTCGCTGCTCTGTCTGGCTCCGCTACCTGCATCGGGGATGGTTCCACATTGCAGCAGGTGGAGTGGCCGCGCGTTGGATCGGAGAGTACCCTTCTAGACGACGTGCTGCTGGGACTATGCTGTGAGGGCCCTGCCTCCGCACAACGTGCTGCTCTCTCTGCTCCTCCGCCCACGCAGCCACGCGCACCCGCTGCTCTTTGTGCCTTCGCTCCCGGCAGCACGAGCAGCTGCATTTCAGCGGTGCTTGCGGGGAGTACGTGTGGCACAGAGGAGCAGGAATACGTTGATGCATGCATTGACGCGCTCTGGAACGGAAGCAACACGGACAACAACAGCAACGGCGCTGACAACAACAGCAACGGCGCTGACAACGGGGGCATTGACAACCACAGTGACAGGGACATGGGTGCTCTCTTTCTCAACACGCATGTTGTTCATGTGCTGCTGAGTGGGAGTGCCCTCACCATGCCCTTGCCCAGTGGGCCTCAATCTCAGGGGCCTGCACCCCCTTGTGCTGCCGGGACAGCCGTGTTAGAGTGGGCGGTGGAGCAGGGAGTGACCGTGGAGGAAGGTCGTCAGCTACACAGGCAGCAGCAGTTTCTCACCAACGTGGCTACGCTTGCACAGTGGAATGATTGTCGGCATGTAGAGCTTGAGCGCGTTATCTTGATGCCACCGCACCAGCCACAGCCACAGTTACAGCCACAGCCACAGCTACAGCCACTCCCACCAACGCCTTGGCTGACAGTGCCTGGTCAACTTTCAATGGCCCCTGGCACCACCAATGGCCTGTACACGCCCTCCAATCCAAGGGGCTCGCACATGCAAGCCCCCATACAGCCACGCCCAGTTGTGCTGCAACAGCCCTTCTCCTCCGGTGCTCTACCAGCTCTCTGCCACCCCCCTGTTGCCTCCTTAGCCCGACACGGCCTTTACTCTGGGAGCTGATGTCGCTGCTATGAATCTTATCAATGGTCGTCAGATCAGCCTGGATGTGCGATGCTATACTAATCTGTTCAGAATCAACTTGCTCAATACTAGCGGGGATGGGATTAATGGTTTACCATACGATTGTTGGGCATAAGGCACATTCTTCTGACCGAACTGAGATCACAACATGTTTTGCTGACTTGCTCGCGACACTTGCTGCAAAGTGTAGCTTCTGCCGTTTTGTGTATAATACTTTGTGTATGCAATGGAAACAACTACTGTATTGCACTAAGGGACAAAAATGGTACAATGTGCGGGTAGATGGGCGCATAAGCATCCCCACGTAATCCCATCTCAGCTCCTTAGGTTTTGTTGCAGGGAAGGAGCAAGTCCACTCTCAGGCATATGGTTACTGGTGTTGTGGTGGCGATTGCGGTGAGCACATTTGTGGCCAACATATGTTACTGTGTTTTGTAGTGGAACTGTTTTAGTCAAGTGTTGACTCGTATGCTTAGAAGAGTATTTGTTAGGGGGAGAAGCGGGCATTGTTCACAAGAAGCAGGACCACACATACGTATTTAGCACAACTTGAGATGCATTTTGAAATGAATGATTATTTCCAACCCACGCGAGTACACCCACACGCGTTTGGGCACAAGGCGACCCTCAAGTTCAGGAAGAGGCAGACACACATCTCCATCTGACCACACCGTCAAGAGTGACAGTTGCCGAGCCCATAAACTGCTATTGCACGCCACAACAGTTGCCCAACCCTCAAGATAGTATCCGTTCCGCTTTCAGCCTTGCCCTTGATGCGGCATTCAGCAGCAGTTGCTTGCTTGCATTGCTTGCTTGAACGGTGGATGGAAGTTGGGCCAATGGTGTTGGGCAGCTTCAGCCAGCGGCTTCGTACGAAAGCGTCCGATGGTGCAGTCTCTAGTGCAGTACACGTATCAATTGTCCGATTCGAACAAATCGCAAGCATTTGGATAGTTTCCACTGCTGGCCGGTGTTCACGTGCCTCGTGTCGCACGACGGACTCCTCCCATCCACACTCAAGTGACAGGCTATCACGAATTTGAGGAGGACCATCTGATGCTAGTGTACTTTATACGATTCAGCACTAGGTTGCCCATTCTTATTGGAGGGCGTGAGAGCGAGAATGCCGGAAAACCGGCTACAACTAGGCGGGTGTAATGATTCCCTCCAAGATTGCGCAATGATCACTAGGGGTACCCTTCTCGTCAGTCCACTGGTCCACACATTTGTGACGTCATCCTCGCCCACGCATCACCCGCTTTCCATCTGCCCTCCTGTGACGGGACTGGACAGGAGGCTCCCGCCCGTTGCACACTCCTGCCACGCAACACGAGTCGCTGGCTGAGCGCGTTTGAGGTGGAATGGAACTGCGGCGAGAAGGCATTTCTCGGCCAGGACGAAGCCCCGTCGCCCGAGGCGGCAAGGCCCACACACACAGCCCGGGGGTTTGATTGATCCCCAGCCCGGGGGCTTGGCAAGCCTGGGTCTTTCTGGGTCATTCCGTTGAAGAGAGATACGGACTTGCAAGGCTTGGAGTCATGCTTTTGTCAGTTGCCTGGCCGCCATGTCGCATTCCTCTGAAGCCGTTGACTCGCAATCCGCGTCGCCCGGCATGCAGCCATCATGGACGCGAGAGGTGGGTTGCGAGAGGTGGTGGGTCGCGAGAAGAGCGTCCAGTGGAGAATTTTAAGTTGCTCCGATTTTAGAGTTCAAGTTGACAAGGGGATTCAGGATTCAATCTTTGCAAGTCCTTGTTATGATGTCGGTGGGATAGTACTTCCTTAGTGCATCAGGACACGTTTTGAGCCGCGCACTTCCACACTCAATGCTAAACGCCGCACTCATGCTGTCTTTTTCTCCGCTCCGCGCCGACTGCGCAGGAGGACGTGGTGCTGCTGCGCCACGCGCTGCAGTGCGGCACGAAGCAGTGGGGCGAGCTGGAGAGGAGCGGTCAGCTCAAGAGGAGCAACAAGTCGTGCTGTGACCGTTACATCTTCCTCCGAAGGTACTAATCCTGCATGCCGTATTCATAATTCATTTGGCTCAGGCGTCCTGATACTCCTCAACCTTTCTAAACCCCTCTCTCTCTCTCTCTCAAATGGTCCGTTGTATTAATTCAGCAGGGGTATAGACATGCAGTTCTATCCATGATAACCTCAATCCCATAAGCCCATCAACTCACCCCTCTTCCCCTCCCCTCCCCCCTGAGTGACCCTCTAGCCCTCCAGCGTGTGGAGGATGTCCCCCAGGTGCAGCGGCCAGGGGTCCGCTGCCATCTGGGGGTGTGCTGCCTCAATCCCAGCCCTGGCCTTGGTGTGCAGGGCGTTCGCCTGGGAGCGCTGGAGGGCCACTGACCAGCGCTGGCTGAAGTGGCAGGCCATCTTCTTGGCGGATTTCGCCAAGGGGTTGGCCCTGAAGCGGTTCCTAGCTGCTGCTGTGGCCAGCAGTTTCAGGAACGCCGTCGTGGGGGGCGCGTTTGCCCCATAGGTCTTGACGGCCAGGGCGCAGAACACCACGTGTTCTGTGTGTCGGTAGTAGTCCCTCTCCTTCCGCTTCTGTGCCTCCCTTGCAGCCCAACCTGGGGGTTTGCGGGCCGTGGGGTCTCGGTTCTGCAGCACAGGGTCAGTGATCGTGGTGTCTGTGATCCAGGTCTCTCCACTGTCCGGGTCTTGTACAATCACATCTGCCTTCTTTGGGTCATCCGGAGGTGAGTACATCGCATTCTCCAGGTATACCACCAGCTGCGCCTCCCTCGCCATTTTAGCCATGGCGAAGGCCAGCTGGTTGTGTGTGCGCGTCCTGTCGGGGCCTGTGCTGCAGCGGAGTAAGTGGTTGGGTAGGCTGCAGTCGGCTACAAGTTCTCCGCACTCGCACACGGTTGGTACATTCTGTCGGATGCCCATGCGGAAGGCCAGGGCGGCTCGGAACTGTCCCGGTGAGAAGCAGAGTTCCGGGGTCAAGGGTAGTGCCTGCAGCCACACTCCTGCTCCCTCTCCTCTCAGGCTGACTAGGCGGAGTGTGTGGCCCATCTCGGGGGCTGACTGTATTGCGCGTGACTCCTCTCTTAGGGCGTCGGCCTTTGCCGCGTGCACTTCGTGGGAGAGGGCCCGCTGCAGCTGGTCCTGGGATGGGGTTTGCTGCTCCTCCCGTAGGTTTTGTAGCCAGCGGTGGCAGTCGCCCCTCCATGTCCTGGATGGTCACGGAGTGCGCTGCAGACGGCTGCAAGGCGTTGCTGTCGGCCCCTAGCGACGCGGTCGCCGGTAAGTCCAGGGAACGGAGTAGGCGCAGCGCCTCTGTTGTAGATGCCAGGTAGGCCGGTGCTGCTTCAGTTGTGGGGTCCGTAAGGCCCAGTCCGCCTAGGGCTATTGGGAGAGTTGCCTGTCGGAGAAGGAAGTTGAACTTGGCTTGTCGGCGTGGCGGTTGAATGCTGGCGGCGGACAAGGCAGTGTTCAGTAATTCGGCGCACCATGTGTGCCATTCCGAGAGCGGTAAGACGTCAGCTGGGGTAGTGCGCAGCAGGTAGCCGATCCTGCGGCTGATGCAACGAGACAGTAGCAGGAGGGCGTGTTGTGGGTGGATGGACGCCAGAGAGCCCAAGGGGACTGCCGCGTCTGTCAGGGTGCTGCGGACAAAATCAGAGCAGAAGCTCTGCGACCCACTGGACTTCCCAACACCAGCACCCCCTCGCGGGTGAGGGGAAGGCCCTCGGGGAGTACGTCCCCTCCTAGCGGCACGGTGGACCACGCCGACGACTTCCTAAAGTTGCAGGTGAGACCGTCCCGTGCCAGCAGCGGCGTGAGCTCCCTGAGCGCTTCCAACGTCACCGCCGCGGGTCCAATCATGGTTATGTCGTCCGCGTAAGCGAGGACCGTGACTTCGGGGTGCTCCGTTGCTACGTGCCTGAGGTGCTGCTGGATAGACGCTGCGAATAACAGAGGTCCGAGGGGATCCCCCTGTCTGACTCCCCTTCCGCTAGTGAGTGTCGTGGAATTGAAGCATGGGTCCAGCAGCAGTGGTGAAGATGCTGCGTAGAAAGAGCGTGTGAAAGGGATTAGGGGAGCTAGTGGGGAGCCGATGAGTGCGCTGAAGAACGCGCTCCTCTCTACTGAGTTGAACGCGTTCTCAATGTCGAGCTGGAGTACTAGGCTGGAGGGCTGCACCGTGGTGAGGTCTCGGTCAGCATGGATGACAAATTCTGCACCTCCAGGGACTGCCACGCCAAATTGCTGAGGTAGGAAAAAATTTCGCGTTTCTCCTTGCAAATCTGAGAGCGCCACCTTCGCCGCCAGCCTAAGCAATGACTCTCCAATCGCAATGGGACGTACCCCCCCCCCCTGGTTTGGCGAAGGCTATAAGGCGGGACGGGGCAAGTAGTGCTGCGACTTCAGTGGAAAGATTTGTCGAGAGAAGATGCGTAACGGCGGAGTGGAGGTGCCCTAGTACCTCTCTCTCTCTCTCTCTCTCTCTCTCTCTCTCTCTCTCTCTCTCTCTCTCTCTCTCAAATGGTCCTTTGTATAAATTCAGCAAGGGGAAAAGACATGCAATTTGACTCGTGGTTCCCTTATACCTTCCGACCCATCAACCCATCCCTCTGACCCTCCCCCCCCCCCCCCTTAGTGCCCCTCTAACCCTCCAGCGTGTGGAGGATGTCCCCTAGGTGCAGCGGCCATGGGTCCACTGCCATCTGGGGGTGCGCTGCCTCAATCCCCGCCCTGGCCTTGGTGTGCAGGGCATTCGCCTGGGAGCGCTGGAGGGCCACTGACCAGCGCTGGGTGAATCGGCAGGCCATCTTCTTAACCGATTTCGCCAGGGGGTTGGCCCTGAACCGGTTCCTAGCTGCTGCTGTGGCCAGCAGCTTCAGGAGCGCTGTCGTGGGGGGCGCGTTTGCCCCATAGGTCTCGACGGCCAGGGCGCAGAACACCACGTGTTCTGTGTGCCGGTAGTAATCCCTTTCCTTCCGCTTCTGAGCCTCCCTTGCAGCCCAGCCTGGGGGTTTGCGAGCTGTGGGGTCCCGGTTCTGTAGCACAGGGTCGGTGATGGTCGTGTATGTGATCCAGGTCTCTCCACTGTCTGGGTCACGCACGATCACGTCGGCCTTCTTCGGGTCATCCGGTGGTGAGTACATTGCATTCTCCAGGTATACCACCAACTGCGCCTCCCTCGCCATTTTTGCCACGGCAAAGGCCAGTTGGTTGTGTGTGCGCGTTCTGCCCGGGCCTTTGCTGCAGCGGAGTAGGTGGTTGGGTAGGCTGCAGTCGGCCACGAGCTCTCCACACTCGCACACGGTAGGTACGTTCTGTCGGATGCCCATGCGGAAGGCCAGGGCTGTTCGGAATTGCCCTGGTGAGAAGCAGAGGTTTGGGGTCAGGGGTAGGGCTTGCAGCCATGCTCCCGCTCCTCGCCTCTCAGGCTGACGAGGCAGAGCGTGTGGCCCATCTCGGGGGCTGACTTGATTGAGCGTGATTCCTCTGTCAAGGTGTCGGCCTTTGCCGCGTGCACTTCCTGATAGAGGGCCCGCTGCAGCTGGTCTTGGGACGGGGTTTCTTGCTCCTCACGGAGGTATTGCAGCGCCAGCGGCGGCAGTCATCCCTCCATGTCTTGGATGGTGTCTGAGTGTGCCGCAGACGGCTGCAGGGCGTTGCTGTTGCTCCCTAGCGCCGCGGTTGCTGGCAGGTCGAGTGAGCGGAGCAGGCATAGTGCCTCTGTCGTTGAGGCCAGGTAGGCTAGTGCTGCTTCTGTTGTGGGATCCGTGAGGCCCAGTCCACCTAGGGCCACTGGGAGGGTTGCTTGGCGGATGAGAAAATTGAACTCGGCTTTGTGGCGGGGTGGTTGGATGCTGGCGGCAGTCAGGGCGGTGTTGAGCAGTTCGGCGCACCACGCGTGCCATTCTAAGAGGGGAAGGACATCCGTTGCGGTGGTGCGCAGCAAGTAGCCAATTCTGCGGCTGATGCAGCGGGACAGGAGCAGGAGGACATGCTGTGGATGGATGGATGCTAGGGAGCCCAGAGGTGCCGCCGCGTCTGTCAGAGTACTGCGGACCAGGTCAGCGCAGAAGCGCTGTGACCCCACGGGACTTCCCAACACCCGTACCCCCTCGTGGGTGAGTGGGAGGCCCTCCGGGAGCTCGTCACCCTCAAGCGGCGTCGTGGACCACGCCGACGATTTTCTGAGGTTGCAGGTGAGGCCATCCTGGGCGAGCAGCGGCGTCAGTAGCTTAAGCGCGCCGAGCGTTGCTGTCGCCGGTCCGACCATGGTGATGTCATCTGTGTATGCTAGGATCGTGACTTCTGGGTGCTCTGCTGCTGTGCGTCTGAGGTGCTGCTGGATTGATGCCGCGAACAGCAGGGGTCTGAGGGGGTCCCCCTGCCTCACCCCCCTTCCGCTGGTAAGTGCCGTCGTGCTCAAGCAGGGATCGGTCAGCAGCTGAGAAGGCGTTGCGTAGAAGGAGCGGGTGAAAGGTATGAGCGGTGCTAGCGAGGTGTTGGCGAGTGCGTTGAAGAACGCTTTCCTCTCTACGGAGTTGAAAGCGTTTCCAATGTCGAGTTGGAGGACTAGGCTGGAAGGTTGTGAAGTGGTGAGGTCTCTGACTGCATGTATAACGAACTCAGCTCCGCCTGGGACTGCCACACCGAATTGTTGGGGTAAGAAAAATCGCCTTGTTTCTCCTTGCAGTTCCAAGAGTGCCACCTTTGCTGCCAGCTGGAGTAGGGATTCCTCTATTGCGATAGGGCGTACCCCCCCCCCCCCCCCCCCCCCCCTGGTTTCGCAAAGGCGATGAGGCGGGATGGCGAGAGTAGTGCTGCAACCTCGGTGGAAAGATTCGTGGAGAGAAGATGTGTTACGGCGGAGTGTAGGTGCCCCAGCACTTCGATGTTGCTTAGGGCTGGGTCGCGGTAGTGTTCAAATGCTGACCCGGATGGACCAGCCCCAACTCCGCTGGGGCAATCCCCAAGGACGTCTGAGAAACTTTCCGCGGTGCACGAAAATTGTGTGGGTGTTGTGTAGGTGTGGACCCAGTCGGGCAGCTCAACTTGGGGTTGGGGATGTTTCAATTCCAACTACTGCAATGTTGCAATCGTCGCAGGGGCCGCTGGCGAGGGTGAAAGGGCTGCCAATGCTTTTCGCGGGTTACCTCGTTTCACCAGCCCCTCCACACGTGAGCAGATTCCCAGGGGGTCGTTTTGGTGTTGAGGTGGCTCAGCTTGGTGCAGGGACCCCACGTAGTCACTGTAGAGCTGGTTCCAGTGGCCACATCTGAATAGGTGCATCTGCTCTCGCAGCACCTTCCACTTAGAGCTGGACCTCCTGCTAGGTCGTAAGGTGAGACGTGGCAGGAACATGAGGACCCGCCACGCTCCCGCGCAGTTGGGCAGTTTGGAGATCCGTAAGAGGGCGGCCAGCATACAGGTGGAGTAGTCGCTTAGTATCTGCGGCGGCAGGCGTCGGACGATAGGCAGGTGGGTGGTTGACGTTAGGGTTGAAGAGTCCCAGCTCGTCGCGATCTCAAAGAGATCCTCCCTCGATGCCAGCTGGGACGCTGACAGGGCTTGGTCCGGAGGGGGTTGGGGTCTGCGGTTCTGTCGGCGTCTAGAATCCCTCTCCTGCTGCTGCGCTTGGTCCTCCCCCGCTTCCGCGAGAGGTGAGTCGAGGTTGTCGGGTTGCCTCAGATCTGACGGTACATATTCGTCGCCGCTCCCTTCTGCGTTTGTATCACCGATTCTCATTGCTTGCGCTGTCGTTCCCCCTCTCCCCCCGTGTCTAGCAAACGACTGGCGCGTGACTCGTTCCGCCGGCTCCCCCACCAGATTGGGCTCGGTAGTTGGCGCGGATTCCCCCTCACCGCTTGGCCTGCACTCCGCTGTCCTCCGCGCGCTCCTCGACCCCCGCCTCTCCCCCGCGTGCTTCCTTGTCCGCTCCTCGGAGTGGCTGCCACAGGTGCCGCCTGTTGCGCCTGGGAGATCGGCGTCGTTGGCTCCTCTTGTGGCAGTGGAGCGCCCTGAGCGCTCGTTGATGGATTTCCTCGGCGCTCTGGGCCGCGACTGCACCGCGGAGAGCGATCCCGCTCCCCGTCCGCTTCCTCCTACACGCCCTGCCGCGAGCGTACCTGTTGCTCCACCAGCGTCCGCTGATCAGATCCGCCGCCGCTTCGAGGACCAGCAGCGCGAGCTGGCTCGGTGCGCGGGCAGGTCCTTGTCACCGCCGGAGCCCCTGCGCTCGGGGGCCGTCTTGCGCTCCGGCGCAGAGGCTGTGGCGCACCAGGAGCGTTCGCCTCGCCGTCGCTCATCGGCAGCTCGCGACGATAAGCGGGAGAGCCGCCGCGATGATCATCACGGTGCGGCCCGTTCGCCGCTGTCTCCTCGTTCGCCTCGTCGCGTGGCGTCGCGAAGCCGATCCCGTAACCGCCGTTCGCATCGTCATCGTTCGCCCCCTCCTCGTTCATCTCGTCAGCGGTCGCCTGCCCGCCAGACGTTTGGGCGTCGGCCCCCAGCTCCGCGTTCGCCCCCTCCTACAAAGCGCCAACGGCTCTACTCCCCTCGTCGCGGGGACCGTTTTCCAGGCCGCCGGCGTCAGCAGGGCCCATCTCGCCCGCAGTCGCCTGTGCGCTCGAGCGCAAGTGGGCGTGCGCGTCGTGGGCGACGGGGAGGTGACATTCGCGGCGGAAAAGCGGGTCCAGCGCCGTCCGCAATGGAGCGCCGTCTTCTGGATAGGCTTGATGACGTGGAGAAGGAGCTTCGTCGCTCGCGTGCTAGGTCGGCGTCACCATCAGCTCCTCGCGCTCCTCCTGTCGTCCCTCTCTTCGCGCTCCTGCCCCACAATCCCTTTGGATCCCCGGTGCGTTCGGAGCAGCCGCTGCCTACAGGGACGGGCTTCGTAGGTGCTGGTGGCGGGCTGCCGTGAGCTCAGTTTGCCCCGCCGCGTCCTCTTCCTGCTCCGCATGATCTCGCCGTGTCGTCTCACCGTGCCCGCGCGTATGCGTTGCTTCCGCCGACGAAGGAAGTTCCCACGGCGACCCTGGCCCGCCTATGGTCGCTGGCGGCGTCCCTGCAGAGCCTTGAGCGGATTCTCCAGGAGTCATTTGACTCCATGCCGGTGAGCCCTCCGAGCAGGTTCTCTCAGAAACCGCGAGCAGATTGTCATGCGGCGGCGTCAGCGCTATTCGCGCTCGTAACGCCACTGCAGGTAGCGCCCTCGCCGGGAGCAACCTCGGCCAGCCAGCTGGTTGACTCGGCCCTGGCTCTGAGGACGCTTGTAGTAGGCCCTGGTACTCCTGTTGACGTTGTAGGCGCCACCGTGTCTGTGGTCCGCCAGTTGTGGTTGAACACGAGCGGAATGCTCGCTGCGGTAGAGGCGGACCGCATGTAGGCGCTCCCCCCTTGCGCGTATAGACCCGTTCCATCCTCTACTTGCTAAGTGTTTATGCTTGCCTTGTTTGTATCGGTTGCCTAAGCTAGTACTGCTTGTTGTTTCCCCTTGCCATCCCTAACGCGCGGTCGAAGGCCGCGCACGCGAGCGCCGGCGGCGGAAGGCCGCCGGCGCGAAGCGCCCAAATTTTCAGCACTAACTGAAAGAATGAGAGATGGAGAGGCCGCCGTGGCCTTAAGTAGTCATGGCAAAGGGCACAAAGCAGAGGGCAGAGGGTAGAAGGGGAGAGGCTAATCCTCTCTCTCTCTCGCTCTCTCGAACAACACCCAAATTTTCAGCTAATTTTCTCTCTCTCTCTCCCTCTCTCTCTCTCTCTCTCTCTCTCTCTCTCTCTCTCTCTCTCTCTCTCTCTCTCTCTCTCTCTCTCTCTCTCTCTCTCTTGCGGCCGTGCGGTGATGGCAGGAAGTTCACAGACCGCTTTCACCAGAACTTCCTGCAAAAGCACCTGGGAGCTGCTGCATTTTCTCGGCCCCTTATTCCATTGGACGGCCACAGTCAGCCACTGCTCTGCCAGGATTTCAAGCAGCAGCAGCAGCAGCGCTCGGAGGGCGTGGGAGCAGCGGCACTGACATTCGGGGGGCTGTCGTACCAGGAGTGCATGATGGCGTTCCTCGCCCCCAATGCTCGCTGCTGCCTCCCAGCAACCCAGCCCAACCTCTCATCCCTCGCCACCCCTCCTCCTGCTTCCCAGACTCCTTTTCCTGCTTCCGAAACCACCGCCCTCTCTGCTGCTGCTGCTTCTACCACCGAGTTTCCATTCTCCCGTGATGCCGTCCCCGTTGTTGCTGCCTCCAGTGCCGCTGCTCTGTGCCGTGCAGTGAAGCGGCCAAGGGACAACTGCGTTGGGAGGGGGGCAGACCAACGTCTACCGGGTGGTTGTGACAGCCGGTTGGTGCGAAGCGGGTTGGTGCGAGACGGGTTGGTGCAAGGTGGGATGGTGAGTAGCACAGAGCGCCGGCATCAGTCAGCAGTGGCGGAGCAGTTTGAGCAGCAGGGGGCGAGCAGCAGCGTGCAGCAGGCAGCGGATGAAGCCCTGCTGGAGGCTCTGCTGTAGGAGGAGCGTCGCCAGCTGCACCAGGGAGGAGCGAGGAGCAGGGCGCAGCGGGTGCTGTGGCTGCGCGTTGGGTCGGAGAGTGCCCTTCCAGACGACGTGCTGCTGGGATTCAGCTGTGAGGACCCTGCCTTCACGCAACGCGCCGCTCTCTCTGTTCCTCCGCCTACCCAGCCGCCCAAACCTCTGCCATCGCCATTGCCCCCCCAACTCGCTGCTCCGCCTGGCTCTGCTTTCTGCATTGGTAATTCCACCCCCTGTGCTGATTTCGCGGTGCAGCGGGTGGACTGGCCGCATGTTGCGTCGGAGAGTGCCCGTGACCTTCCACACGACGTGCTGCTGGGAGACCGTACCTCCGCGCAACGTGCCGCTCTCTCTGCTCCTCCGCCCACCCAGCCACTTGCACCGCTGCCAACAGCAATGGCCTCCCCACTCAGTGCTCTGCCCGGCTCTGCTCCCGGCAGCACAAGCAGCTGCATTGCAGAGGTACTTGCTGGGAGTACGTGTGGGTGTGGCACTGAGGAGCAGGAATACGTGGATGCATGCATTATCGTGCTCGACAACGGAAGCTCCACCGACAACAACCGCAACGGCACCGACAACAACGACAACAGCAACAGTGGCAACGACAACCAGAGTGACAGGGACAAGGATGCTCTCTTTCTCGACACGCCCATGGCCCACCTGCTGCTGGCTGGGAGTGCCCTCGCTGTGCCCCTGGCCAGTGGGCCTCAGGCTCAGGGGCCTGCACCGCCCGGTGCTGCTGGGCCACCCACTCGGGCTGCTGGGTCAGCCGTGGCAGAATGGGCGGCAGAGCAAGGAGGGGCTGGGGAGGCAGGTGCTGACTGGCACAGGCAACAGCAGGGGCTCACCCAGGAGGCGACGCTTGCACAGTGGAAGGCGTGTGGGTGTGTAGAGCTGGAGTACATTCCCTCGCTGCCACTGCACCACCCACTTCCACAATCACAGCCGCTGTCACAGCCACAATTACAACCGCTGCCACTGCCACTGCCGCGGCCGACTCCAAAGCTACTCGCACTGCCACTGCTACCAACGCCTTGGCTGAGAGTGCCTTGTCAACTTCCACTGGTCCCTGCCGCCACCAGTGCACTGAATACGCCCTCGAACCCAAGGGGCTCGCACATGCAAGCTCCCATACAGCCACGCCCAGCCGTGCTGCAGCAGCCCTTCCCATCCGGTGCTCTACCGGTGTGAAAGTTAGAAGAAAGAAGAGGACTGCACTAGCAAGAATGGGGATACAGATAGGAAACCCTAGAAGGGTTGTACTCGCTATAGAGCACCCCACTACAGGCTAGAGCATAAGATAACATTCTGACAACCGGCTCTCTGTTTGACACGCCCTGCCATGCTGCCTCCGTGGCCTGACATGGCTGTTACTCTAGGAGCTGATGGCATGCTTTGAATGCCACAGCTGGTTATGGGCCCAGCTTGGGTGTGTGTGACTACACTTGACTAACTTGTTTAAGGAACAACTGAATTGGTACTAACGGGGATGGGGCTCAGGGCTCTCGTTATCAGACTAATTTAGTCTGTTGGTCTAGATTTCAGTCGCATTTTTTTTTGTTCATATGTTCTCGCAGACAAAAGAACGCGGCTCATATGATAGCCCAGATAAGGCGTTTATACTCATATGTTTTTTTCAGACACATGTTATATTTCGTACGAGTTTCATACAGCGAAGATATTTCTGTCTGATAACCCAAGGGAAAACAAAGAAGCTCGTCAATCCTCTCGCAAAAGTCGATCCCACATCCGCTGGACTCCGCGTTCGAATCAAACCAACTACGCTGTCCACATGAATACATGTACTTGTTAATATTTTTCATTCCTACTTACAGGCGGCATTAAATATTTCATATGAAAATCAGACCACCCAGGATCCCTCATATGATGGTCAGACTAAAAAAAAAAGAATACTTTTTCATCAGACGCCCCAAATAGTTAGCAAGAGCCCTGATGGGGCTATGCTTGACCATGGGAATGGTGCATACAACCCTTCTTCCTCATGGGATGTCTCCAAGCTTCATCCCATCATACTGAGACTGCACATAGTTGAGCAGAAATCATTCTGCCTTGATTGACTCCACCGAGTTGCCAAAGTGAAGCTCACATGCCAGTTTGTAGAGTAGGTGTTTTTTTATGTCTGTTTTTTTTCTATAACTGTATTTTGTAACCTCAAACTCCCGTCAACCATCTCAATATCCGCGTTAGTCACCTCTTGTGAATGTTGTTCTCCATCGCTGCGTGGCAACCCTACCAGTGCAACCCGCCGTTCACATGTAACAGTCACACTGTGGCAGCTTGCTGGTCCGATCCGACGGCGCGCCTTACTACTGAGGGCGTCACTGTTCGCAACTCCGCGTTTCACGGCGTCGGCTCACGCTCGCTCGGCGTTATTGCATACATGTCCGTACCTGGGCCTGAAATACGCATTGCGCTACGAAGAACCGCAATAATGACGGCCGTTCTGGCGTTCTTTCCACCCTCGCGAGCTTCGCCGCCCGCAACAGCCTCGCCTCGGACGTGCCGAGTCGCATGAGTCGAATCAGGGCATGGCCTGACGATCCTTGCATTCTTCACAACCACATGACGACCCTGGCCGCAGCAGGCTCGCTTTTGCCGAGTCGCATGTGCCAAATGTGGACAATTCGTGTCGCATGGGTGACGACCAAAGTCCGCGAAATGCAGTCAATCTCGACTCCGGCGCGATTCCGGTGTGTGTGGGTGGATGAGTGCTCGCAAGGTTAGGGACCACACGTTGTGAGCGACACGTGGGGGGATGAGCGACACGTGGGGGGATGAGCGACACGTGGGGGGATGAGCGACACGTGGGGGGATGAGCGTCGCGTGGGGGGATGAGCGTCGCATGGGGGGATGAGCGTCGCACGGGGGGATGAGCGTCGCATGGGGGGATGAGCGTCGCATGGGGGGATGAGCGCCGTATGGGGGGATGAGCGTCGCATGGGGTGATGAGCGTCGCGTGGGGGGGAAGAGCGACATGTGGGGGGATGATAACGGGCTGTGAGGATGAGACAGCGATTGGATTCCGTCACGGGTGAGCAGTAAGTGGCCATGCATCAGTGGCCATGCATCAGTGGCCATGCATCAGTGGCCATGCATCAGTGGCCATGCATCAGTGGCCATGCATCAGTGGCCATGCATCAGTGGCCATGCATCAGTGGCCTCCGCCCGCCTTTGAGAATTCTCAAAAGTGAATTTAGCATGGCTGCATTAGTGGCCGTGTACCTCCGCCCGCCTTCCCCCACCCACTGCCTCCCTTCCTTCACCCAAGCTTTCTGCGCCCCACTCTCTTGCTCCCTCCTTTCCTTCGCCGTGGGAGTCCCTCGCCCGCTCCCTCCTCTCTTTGTATCCCTTCGCAAATCTCTTCTGCCAATCCCTCCCTCCCCCCCTTCCCTCTCTCCCCCCTGCCTGTCTGCCCCTCACCCCACCGTGTCTCCCCCTTCCTATCTCCCCCCTTTCTCGTCCTTCCGCCATCCCACCAAGTCGGAGCACAGCAGGGCGGGGGAGTGGATGCGGCAAACAGTACAGTTGCAGCGGGCAGAGGGAATGGGGAAGGAGCAGTGGCGGGAGAAGGGGAGCTGAGAGTGCTGGGAGGGTTGGGAAAACCAAAGGAGAGCAGGGGGTGGGAAGCGGAATGGGAACACCCAGCTGCACTCCTTGTGATGCGGATGGGAGGCCCGGGGCAGGGGGAAAAGGCGCGAGCCATGGGGTGAATTGGGTGAGAATGGTGCGGGAGAGGCTGGTTGACTTGGTGGAATAAGAAAGGGGGAGGAGGAAGGGCGAAGTGGGGGAATGGGGGAAGGGACTTGATTGGGCTGGGAAGGAGTGCGCTGGATTCTCAAAGGCAGCTGAAGGGGAAAGGTGTTGAGGCAGTAGTGGGCGCTTTCAGGCCAGCTGCTGCTGCCCGCGCAAGGTGAGCATGGCACAGGTGGGATTGATGCGAAGTCCCATTAATTTCTGTGCGAGTCATCAGACGCGAGCAGAGTCAGGTGCGACTGGACCCATGACACACCGAGCGGTCGCTACATCGCCATCTGGACCGAGGCTCGATCCGAGATGAGTCACATAAAGGAAGGAATCCGACTTAATTTGACTTTTTTTCGAGCCGAGTCAAAATCGAAGAGGAGCATGATTGCATGGCAGAGCGAGTCATGTGGCACAGCTGCTGTGGGTGCTGGAGGGATTGGATGGGAGACAGAGCCAAGAGCAGTGGAAAGTGAAGGGTGAGATGGTGGGGAGAGAAGGGCAAGAAGGGGGGAGAAGTAGCGAAAGCTGAGAGCAGCGTAGAGCTGAGAACAACAGTAGAGAAGGGGGACCTGTGAGCAGCGGACGGTGGGAGGGGCAGTTGGGAGCAGCTGGGAAAAATGGGGGAGCTGAGAGCGGCGATGGAAAAGGGGCAGGTGGGAGCAGTGGGGCTGGGGAAAGACGGGGCCAGTGAGAACTGCGAGGAGGAGATACGTTGGAACCAGATGAGGTTGACACGTTGGAACTGGATGATGTTGACACGTTGGAACTGGATGATGTTGACACGTTGAGGGTGGGTGGCGTGGCGTGGGATGGGATATGAGGGTTAATATAATATGGACTGGAATGGGGCTGGATTGGGTGGGATGTAATAATCTGGGACAGGGTAGAGTGTTACAGGGTGGATGAATTGAGCCAGATGGGACGGCTGGGGTTGGGTTGGGAGGTATGTGAAGGTTAAGACTATGGGTTGATGTATATGCATAAGCATCTCCTTGTCACTCTTTCATTTCACTGAATCTGGTTGCAGGGAAAGGAGCAAGTCCACTTGACCAATATAGGTCATGAGCTCAGGCATATGGTCAGTCAACTCAGCTTATTGCGTCTAAGGGTTAGTGTAGTGGATGACTGGGAAGTATATTTGTGTTCTACATAGTGTGTTGAACTGTGTTATGTAATGGAACTGTTGTAGACCTTGTTGACTGGTATGGTATTCTTACGGTATATGGAGGAATTCTGGGGGGAGGAATGTGGAAAGTTTGTATGGGGTTCCGTATTCATTGATCACAGCAAGAACAAGCACCACACATACGAATTAATCACATCTGTACATAGTCCATGCTAAGGGCACAAATGAATGATTGTTCCCATCCACACGTGCACACCCACACGAGCCTAGGTGAAAAGCAAACACACTCACTCAGCTGCTGCTGATGGATGGCTGAGGACGCGGCACCTGTTTTCATTCTATCGATCCTGGCATATCGATCGGCACACCGATGTGCCCACACTGCAATTTTGCAGTGGGGTAGACACATCGAGCTATAGGTGCCAGGTTCGAAAATGCAGGCTCGGGAGGTTTGAGCTGCCATTACACTTCAACGCGCAGCCAATCAGGGTAGAGCGTGGATGGTCGTGCAGCAATTCTATTCGCAGCGACTCAAGAATTTTTGGCCTGCGACCGTGGGCGACGCCGATCGATCGAGGCTGTCACCTGTGGCGCGATATGCTCTCCCGCCAACCCTAACACATGCACCACGGCACATCGATCGTGCGAGCTGCAGGTGCCACCAATTTGGGTACCCGTTTACTGTACCCTCTCGACGTTCAACGAAAAACGGCTACCAAGCATTGGCGATGTCGCCAATACACTGTACAAGCGGCACATCGATCCATATCCCACGATCGATCCTGGCAAAATGAAAACAGGTGCCGCGTCCTGATTGCACAGTCTACGGCAACACTTGATGAGTCCCTAGTTGCTGCTATTGCACGCCGCAATCCTAAAGATAGTAGGTTATTCCCGGTCTTGCCCGAGATACGGCATTTGACTGCAGTTGCTTGCCAGGTCAACGATGTCTTGCCCTCCCGTCCACCGTGATTGGATGTGCGATCCGGGGGGCCAATGGAGCTGGCAGCTGCAGCCACCGGCTTCATTTGGTGGTGCTGTACACGTGCTGATTCGGAAAAATCGCGAACACGACAGTTTTCACTGCTGGCAGTAGTTCGTTCACGTGCCTCGTTTCACACGGTGAATGCCTCCCATTCCACACTCATGTGAAGGCGAAATTCGAGGGGTGCATCACATGCATCCAGTGTACTTTATACGATTTATAATGTTGCCATCTCCTATTGGAGGATTCAAGTGCGGGAATGCTGGCTATCAGTCGACAGCTAGGTCGGTGCAATGATTCCCATTACCCTTCCTAGTGAGCCCACTTGGCCCACACTTAACCGCCGCATTCTCGCTCACGCCGCATCACCCAGCTGCCCCCGTCGTACACCTTCCCGGGAGTCGCCAGCTGCGCGCGTTTCAAGTCGAAATGGGGCAAGAAAGCGTTCCTCGGATGTCAAGACGAAACGAAGCCCTGTCGTGTCGTGTCGACTCATTCCGGCTCATCAGAAGCCTCGGAGAGTCGGAGGCCCACAGTCCGGAACTGAAGCTCATCACGTTGTGCCACTGACAGTGGCACAATCAAGCCACGGCCTTGTGCATGGATCTTTGCTCGACGCTGACGTCATTCCGTTCCCTCTTGAAGGAGGGAGATAGACTTGCAAGACTCACTGGCACACTCATGCTATCCGTCAGTTAACTCTTCTGGCTAAAAGCAGCACTAATGCTTTCTAATAACAGCAGCTTGGCCGCCATGCCGCATTCCACTGAAGGCGTTGACTCGTCGGCCTCGCAATCTGCGTCGCCCTGCATGCAGCCATGGTCGCGAGAGGTGAGTCGCGACTCGCGTGATCGGCCAGATTTTAAGCTTGCAATGGGAAACAGGATCCAACCTTGCATTTCCTTTTGTTATGTCGGAGGGATTATGCTACCTGTACGCGTCAGGACTCGTTCAGTGTGCCTGGAGCCGCGCACTTTCGCCTCAATGCTCATGCCATTGCCTGGAGATTATACTCCGCACTCACTCACGCTGCCATTGCCTCCCGCACTGGGTGGGCAGGAGGACGCGGTGCTGCTGCGCCACGCGCTGCAGTGCGGCACGAAGCAGTGGGGCGAGCTGGGGAGGAGCGGTCAGCTCAAGAGGAACAAAAAGTCGGGCTGTAACCGTTACATCTTCCTCCGGAGGTACCCCTGCATGCCACAATCTTGATTTTCTGAATCCAGGTGTCTTGATACCCCGGAGCATTTCTCACACCCCTTCTCTCCTGTGGCCGTGTGGTGATGGCAGGAAGTTCACAGACCGCTTTCGCCAAAACTTCCTGCAAAAGCACCTGGGAGCTGCTGCACAACCCCAGAATATTACGTTCAACCGACACAGTCAGCCACTGCTCTGCCAGGATGTAAAGCACCAGCAGCAGCAGCAGCAGCGCTCGGAGGGCGTGGGAGCAGCAGCCCTGGCGTTCGGAGGGCTGTCGTATGAGGAGTGCGTGACGGCGTTCCTCGCCCCCCACGCTCGCTGCTGCCTCCCACCCGCCCCGCCCAACCTCTCATCCCTCGCCACCCCTCCTCCTGCTTCCCAGGCTCCTCCTGCTGTTTCCCAAGGCGCCACCTTCTCTGCTGTGGCTGATTGTACCTACGAGTTTCCCTTCGCCCAGGATGCTTTTCCCGTTGCTGCTTCCTCTAACACCGCTGCTCTGTGTCGGGCAGTGAAGCGACCAAGAGACGATTGCCCTGAGGTGGGGGCACAAAAACCGCTGCTGGGACGCGACAGCCAGTTGCTGCAAGGTGGGGTGGTGCGAGGCGGGACGGTGCGAGGAGGGATGGTGCAAGGTGGAATGGTGTGTGGCACGGAAAGCCGGCGTCAGTCGGTGGCAGAGCAGTTCCAGCTGCAGGGGGCGAGCAGCTGCGTGCAGGCAGGTGAAGCAGCCCTTCTGGGGGCACTGCTGCAGGAGGAGCATTGGCAGCTGCAGCAGGGAGGAGCGAAGAGCAGGGTGCAGCAGGTGGACCGGCCCCGCGTTGGGTCGGAGAGTGCCCTTCCAGACGACGTGCTGCTGGGATTCAGCAGCGGCGAACCTGCCTTCACGCAACGTGCTCCTCCGTCCACCCAGCCACTAGCAGCGCTGCCAGCGCCAATGGCCTCCCCACTCGCTGCTCTGCGTGGCTCCGCGCTCTGCATTGGGGATTCCACCTCCTGCTGTGGGGATGCAGCTCGGTGCATTGGGGATTTCGCAGTGCATTCAATGGACCGGCCCCGCGTTGGGTCGGAGAGTGCTCTTCCAGACGACGTGCTGCTGGGGTGCAGCAGCGACGGACCTGCCTTCATGCAACGCGCTGCTCTCTCTGCTCCTCCACCCACCCAGCCACACGCAGTACTGCCTGCGCCGATGGCCCCCATCCTCGCTGCTCTGCTTGGCTCCGCTGCTTGCAGCACGAGCAGCTGCATCACAGGGTCGCTTGCTGGGAGTACGTGTGGCAGAGAGGAGCAGGAATACATGGACGCATGCGTCAACATGCTTGGCAACAGACACAACACCGACAACTGACACCATACCGACAACAGACACCATACCGACAACAGACACCATACCGACAACAGACACCATACCGACAACAGACACCATACCGACGACAGACACCATACCGACAACAGACATAACACCGACGACAGACACAACCCGGACAACAGACACAACACGGACGACAATGATAGCGAAGACCACAGTGACAACGATGCTCTCTTTCTCAACACGCCTTTGGCTCACGTGCTGCTCACAGGCAGTGCCCTCACCGTGCCCTTGGCCACTGTGCCTCAGGCTGAGCGACCAGCAGCCCCTGGCGCTGCTGGGACAGCCGAGC